TCACTTCTGGATATACATCCGGGGCAGGGAACAAGGGCAAGGGGGAGGTAGAGAGCAGGAGATATTTAACAGATACAGTTTCAGTTAGACCAGAGGAATAAGTTTTAAAGATCTCTTGCACAGCATGATAACTACAGTTAATAAAAATTTATTGTGGCTCGGTGCCTGTAGCACAGCAGTTACAGCGCCAGCCACATACACCAAGGGAGTCAGGTTCAAACCCAGCCTGGGCCAGCTAAACAATAATGACAACTGTAACAAGAAAATAGCCAGGTGTTGTGGTGGGCACCTGTAGTCCCAGCTGCTTGGGAGGCTGAGGCAAAAGAATCATTTAAGCCCAAGAGTTTGAGGTTGCTGTGAGCTGTGACATCACAGCACTCTACCAAGGGTGACATAGTGAGACTCTGTCTCTAATAATAATAATAATAATTTATTGTATATTTCAAAATTGCTTTTTAAAAGTAGACTTTAAATGTTCACACCACAAGTAAATATTAAGTATGTAAGATGATGGATATGTTATTCAGCTTGATTTAATGATTCCACAATGTCAATATATAAAAACAATCAGTTGCAGAAATAATATATAATTATTATTTATTAATCTAAAATTAAAATAAATCAAAAATGGACAAAATAATGGTAGATTGTCACATGGGATGCCAGAATGGGTAAAGTATTAGGCATAGCCCCCAAACACTCCACAATGGACATTTATCACGTGCAAAATAAAACTTTTTTGTTTTACACCACTGATATTTTGAGTTTGGTTGTTACCACAGAATAACAAAAGTCTATCCTGACTTAAACAGACGTAGGCTCAGACTTAGGTTCTGCCATAACAAAAACCTAAAACATGTTGCTACCTGAGTGATCAAAAAAAACCTAAAACATGTTGCTACCTGAGTGATCAAGCAGCAGTTGACAAGGAAATTGTCATTGGAAGCTCAAAGAACAGTTGTCTATATTATCCAGTGACAAATGTACTGCCAAAATCTTTGGAAAACTGTGGGATAATCTAAAGAGCAAATTATTTACCTACGAAATTTAAATGCTAGAAGTTGGAAAATAATACTGATAACATGTTGGTTGCGGTTGACTCTGTCAAGTTACATGAGAAAGAGATGAGCTCAGCAACGGCAGTATGCAAGCAAGAATAAAAATGGTCAGGTGCCCATGATTTTGAATTATAATTAAATGACAACTTTGAAAGCTAGAGAAGTATAATCTTTGGATGCATCTTAAGGATGCATTCCCTGGCTCACCCATACTCAGTGTTAGGGTACCAGCCACATGCACGAGCGCTGGTGGGTTTGAACCCAGCCAGGACCCGCTAAACAACAAGAACAAAAAAAACAGCTGGGCAATGTGGTGAGCAACTGTAGTCCTAGCTACTGGGAGGCTAAGGCAAGAGATCGCTTAAGCCCAAAAGTTTGAGATTGCTGTGACCTATGATGCCATAGCATTCTACTGAGAGTGACATAGTGAGACTCTGTCTCAAAAAAGAAGAATGCATTCCCCTCAGAACTTTGTAGCATTTTTCCCCAATGTTTTCCAGTACTGAATAAACTATAGATGAGTATAAAATAATCGAATTGTTTTCTCTCCACTTCATTCCTCTCTTTGTGTTTCTTGACCATGTACCTGCAGAATTCTTTCTTTATCCTGAAAACTGAATAATCTAACCAGGATATATCCCTTGATGTTGACAGTTCGATAGAAATTTTCCCACAGAACATAATGTACCCTTTAATAGATTTTTCTTCATTATTTTCTATATTATTAAGTACATTTGCTCTTTTTCTATTTCATAGGCATGTATTAATCTTAAGTCATCTTTATCCACATATATCATATTTTAAGAATTTTAATATCTCGCTAGTCATCTTTATCCACATATATCATATTTTAAGAATTTTAATATCTGTGTCCTTTGCCTCAGTATGCTCTGTGATTATCTCAAGACTTTGCTCTACATCTTAATTCGATTTTCATCTCGCTAGTCAGCTTCTTCATAGGTTAGGAGCTATTTTCATCTGGCTGCTTAGCTTCTTAGGTTAGGTTTCAGTACTTTATCAATAGTTTCCATCTTTCCTTCTTCAGCTTTTATAAAAATTATTATTAGTCCTTTAAGGTGGGTGTTTTTGTCTCCACTAATTTCCTTAGCTCTTTTACCTTCATTTATTCATCAAATATTTATTGACTACCTACTGAATACCAGGCAAGGTTCTAGGTACTAGAGAGATAGTAGTGTACATACAGGCAACACTCAGTCCCCATACAGCTTAACTATCAATATACATATTACTTTATCATCTAGCCTTCAAGTTCCTAGTTTATTGCATTCATATTCTTCTTAAATTTTTCTATGGCACAAAGCATTATGAATACTTTTCTTTTCTCTAGCTCTCTCTATGCTTAGGTTAGGTTTCAGTACTTTATCCATAGTTTCCATCTTCCCTTTCACAATAGTCTGCATGACTCTCAATGATTTTTTTTCTTTTTCATTTTTAAGCATGTGAAATTCTGTCCAATCTATTTGCTCTGTGTGTTAGTCTGCTAATGTGACAATACAACTCTACCCCCAAATATCAAATATTTTGCCTTAAGCTAAAAACATTTGTCTTGCTTTTATGACTCTAAACAGTTTTCTGCTATTAAGCTGATCTCCACCTGACCCTGGGTTTGCCTACAATGATGTTTTGGAGTGGCTGGTATATAAGGTTCTACCTTACTTGACTCTTAAGCAGAATTATCTCTGTATTCTGATTCTCTCCACACTAAAGCTATTATTGAGACACACTGGGCTTTCTATTATTATTATTATTATTACTTTAGAGACATGGTCTTGCTCTGAAACCCAAGCTGAAGTGCAATGATGCAATTGTGATACACTGCAGCCTTGAACTCTTGGGCTCAAACAATCCTCCCACCTCAGCCTTCACCTGCCACCACGCTGAGCTATTTTTATTTTGTATGGATGTGGTCTTGCTATGTTGCCCAGGTCAATCTCCAACTCCCAACCTCAAGCAATCATCCTCCCTCAGCTTCCCAAAGTGCTGACATCACAGGCATGAACCACTGTGCCCAGGCATGACTTTCTTAATTTAACTACTTTCCTATGCAGGGCTTCTAGGGAACAATGACTGGGACAGCATGAGAGAGCAGAGGCCAGAATACCAGCTGATCTGGCACCATAGTTCACTGATACAGACCTACTCACGTCACTACCAACAAACTAGACCAACATTTGCAAAGTTCCAGACTTTGGGACTTTAGCATCAAGACCTAAAGTACTGGGCAGCGCCTGTGGCTCAAAAGGGTAGGGTGCCGGTCCCATATGCCAGAGGTGGCGGGTTCAAACCCAGCCTCAGCCAAAAAAAAAACAAAACTGCAAAAAAAGACCTAAAGAACTAACTGCACCTCTATCACTGACCCCACACTCACCAATAAGCAGTTAAGAGTAAATCCATTAACTGCAAAAAATATCTTGATTTAAAGCTGCCTATTCATCACATACTAAGATGAAAAACATACAAATGTAAATGTGGGACGTTTCAGCAATACAACTAATTGCAACTTCAAACTTATCAGCTATCAGAGCAATGTACTAACAACCATAATTTGTCTTGGTGGGGGAATAAGTTCTTCTAATCAGCCTAATTACAGTTTTATTACTGCACATTAATAGCACATGCTGTATAATTTAACTTTTTATTAAATAAATAAGACTTCTTGGGTTTTTAATTCCTCAGAATTTTGTGGAAAATAATAATTTCATTTTCAAAGTGCTTGTAGTGCCAGGTGCAGTGGCTCACACCTGTAACCTTAACACTCTAGGAGGCCAAGGTGGGTGGATCCTGAGCTCAGGGGTTGAAGACCAGCCTGAGCAAGAAGAGTGAGACCCTGTCTCTACAAAAATACAAAACAACTAGCTGAGACAAGAGGATCACTTGAGCCTAGGAGTTTGAGGTTGCTGTGAGCTATGATGCCAAGCCATTCTGCCCAGGTGACAGTGAGACTCTGTCTCAAAAAAAAGGGGAGGAGGCTTGTATTCTTAATTAAAATCTGATAAAATTTGATTATTAAGAGTTACAGTATTTTTAAAGTTTGGCAATATTAAAGAGTTGGCAATTTTCAATAATGCCTGATTTTTTAATCTTTTCCTCTATCTCATCTAAACATTATGTATGCATCAAATGCCTAGCTTTAATACTATTTCTTCTATCAGACGTCTATTTACTTATCTACATTCTCATTCACTGAATGCTACTTCTCCTATAGTCTGCACCACACAATATTTTAAGTCACAGTTCTTTCAGTATTTCGGGTGTGTGTGTCTTCAGTTACACAACAAGCTTCTTGGAGCTGAATCTAATGTCATAATTTCTTTTGAATCCTCCAGAAGGCCTAAAGTTAAGGTTGGGAGTGTACCACATTCAACTAATGCTGCTTGGGTCTCTAAACTTAATTTTGCTGTTTTTGCCGAAGTGTGTAACCACCTCGTTTCGGTTGTGCCCCGAGATGTCTATCTGCCTGGGGTTTCTTTGTGCTCATTGACACTGTTCCTTTTCTATTAGAACAAAGGGCTTGCTGGATAGATAAGCGAACTCACCAGCATCCCGTATTATATGAATAAACGGAATTTGACCCGCCGCCCAGGGCGTTGGGACTGTGCTCAGAAACTAGACCTGATAGCCCACGAACAGTCTAGAGATAGATATTTTAAAATACCACTTTAAAACCTAGTTACCCGCCAGTTACCCCGGCCTCCGGAGCTGCCGATGCTCACAGATGTTGGTTGACAAGGCAGCGAGGATCTGCGGTAAGATAGCCCAGTCGTTATGGTAACGGTGAGACGCAAGCGCACTTGCGCAGCCTTCTGATGAAAAACCTCAACCCGGACCTAGAGAAGTGCTTCGCGACGGCAGCGATTTGCGGCGGCAGCGTGACTTACGGCCGCCCCCTGTGGAGCGCCGTTGAGCGCTGGCTGGGAAGGCCGGCGCTGGGTGGTAGGGGCGCTTTGCTGGAGGCGTTCCAGCATGACCCAGTCGGTGGTTGTGCAGGGTGAGTTGCACGGGGTGGATGGGGACCCGCTTGCCACGGACTCCAGTGGCCATGTTTCCTTACTAATGTCCATTCCCTGCCCTTCCTCTCCTCTGGTCGCAGTTGGGCAGTGCGGAAACCAGATAGGCTGCTGTTTCTGGGACCTGGCGCTGAGGGAGCATGCCGCTGTCAACCAGGTACCGCCTTCGCCTGGCACCGGAGTCTTCCACCAAATAAGTAGAAAACACTCTTGAGCATTTCTTTTATCTGACCAATATAAGTTGTGTGGAGTCTTTTCAGAACATACTAGTTTTTAAACATACGTTGCTGTCAGACACACACTAAACTACAGAACCCTGCCAGAGACCTCTTGGCCTTAACATGTCTCCTAATTATCCGGGTCTTGTCGTTATTAGGATTCGTGTGAGAAGTGGTGAGGGAGTGTGTATTTGTAAAATAGATAACAGGTGTGGTTATTGCGGTCCTTAATTCAACCAATCAGCTTTTAAAATGGTCACTAAGAATCTGGAAAGCAGAGGCACCTGTTCACAATCCAATGGGGACTCCCATTTTCAGCACCATCTGCTGAACTTAATCTATACATCTCATGGCATTTACTTCTCTGAGGAGATTGAAGGAGTTGATGTAAGCATTTTTGTGATATTTGCTTTTTCTTGATTAGCCACATACTAGCCACTGTAGGATTATTAAAATTGGAAGGACTTGATTGGGGAAGAGGCAAACTTAAATGTTTTTTTTTTTTTTCTTTTTAGAAAGGAATTTATGATGAGGCAATAAGCAGCTTTTTTAGAAATGTGGATACCAGGTAAGAAGGGACTAAAGTCTGTCACAGCATGGTGATCCTTTTCATTTCAACAGATTGGGGAAGAACTGTTTAAATTGCAGTAAAAATAGTCAATAGCTGTGAAGTAGTCAGGCTTTTTTGTTTTTCTCATATTTATGTAAACACATTTGTTCTTATCATTAATATTGTCATGTCTTGCTACAGTCATTTTATAAGATGTCCCTATAGTGTAACTTTTTTTTGAAAGCTGAAAATTTTCCCAAAGTGTATCTTGTTAATGAAGCTAATAATGGCTAACTTTTGAAAGAAAAATAGTGTATATTGTTTACATTTCTCTGATACAATCTGTGATCAGTAATATTTGCTGTAGGTACAGAATGTGTTTAAATGGGAGTGGGACACAATTACAAGAAGGATTTTACCTAAAAACCACCATTCAGTATATGCTAATGCTTTGTACCCTCAATGAATCCCAAACAACAACAACAAAATGTGTTTAAAAAGGAGAAAAACAGTTGTCAAATTGTTTTTGTTTATTTAATAAAGGGTATATGTACGTACTATATATCTTTTACCTGAAAGAGTAATTTAAGTTGACACTAAAGCTTTTAATGTTAAATTAGTACGTTGATACTTTTTTTTAAGTATTTGATAAAACTGTGGTGGCCTTGAACTGAAAAATATATACTTAATATCAGGCTTTTTTTTTTTTTTTTAGAGACAGAGTCTCACTTTATTGCCCTTTGTAGAGTGCTGTGGTGTCGCAGGTCACAGCAACCTCCAACTCCTGGGCTTAGGCGATTCTCTTGCCTCAGCCTCCCGAGTAACTGGGACTGCAGATGTCTGCCAGAATGCCCAGCTATTTTTTTGTTGCAGTTTGGTTGGGGCCAGGTTCGAACCGACCACCCTTGGTACATGGGGCCAGTGCCCCTTAAGGTCAGGCTTTAATCTAATTCGATAGAAATTCCAGTTCTAGTTTGACTTAGTTGGCTGAGTGTTTCAGCTTTTTCTTCTGGGGATGCTAATTAGTGTCCACTTCCTTGGTAAATTACAGAGTCTGGTGTCTAAGCTTGCAAACTCAGAAATGTTGGCACCTTGAGAATGGGTCTGATGCTGTCCAGTACAGTTATATTAACCAAAGACCAGATTCCCATTTTCTGTCATACACATGTTATCCTTTGTAGGAAATCTACTTGTAAAGCTACATAGTAATCAGAAGGTTGCTTGGTGACCATGGAATCAGACCAAGGGAAGTTAGGTTTATTACCTTAATGACTGGTGTTATTTATCTTTATTATCTGAAAATAACTGTCATATACACTAGATTCCCTCTTAATTTTGGCCCAGAAGGGCAGCGCCTGTGGCTCAGAGGAGTAGGGTGCCGGCCCCATATGCCGGAGGTGGTGGGTTCAAACCTCAGCCCTGGCAAAAAAAAAAAAAAAAAAATTTGGCCCAGAATACCTTTATCTATAAATACTATTAGGAGGCTCAAATTTGCCTTGGTAATACTTCCATTCGGGTTCTTCTCTTGCTAAATTCCTACACCCACCTCTTCCTTTCTTAATAGCCAACCTTTTCATTGAGTGTTACATAGTTGAGACTTAGCCTAGGAGCTTTTCTTTCTTAATAAAGTGACTTAACTACACATCTACTCTGTGTTTTATACTTTAATCTGAGAGCATTCTTGTTTTCTTGATAAGTTGGGGGACCTAGTGTGGCATGTCTTCCTTCTGCATACTATAAACACATGCACCTGTTCCGCAGTTGCTGCGAAAAGTCTGTTTCAAAAATGAGACCACCGTCTTCGTATACACTTTATCAAACTAGTATACATTTTTAATAGCATGATAGATATTTACATATAGCAGTAGTTTGCAGTCATTTTCTGTAAAAGACCAGATAATACATACTTAGGTTTGGTAAACCATAAGGTCTATTTCACAGCCACTTGACTCTACCCTTGTGGCATGAATACAGACATAGATAGTATACAAATGAATGGATATCTCTGTATTTGAGTAAAAATTTTTTTAGGATAACAGATGACTAGATGGATTTGACTGGTTTACCAACCCCTGATCTATCATACATGTATCGTCTGTGTCCAGCTAGGATTTCCTTCATATATTAATTGTCTTTCTGAGAACTGTCTTTATTAATGAAGATACTGTGTTTGGTTATTGATTTTAGTACTTTAGTAATGTGAAATTCTAGGAGTGCCCTTATATGCTCAGTGGTATATAATTGGTATTTCAGTTGATGTGTATTTGGCTGCAACAGGAAACCTCATTAATGGTGGCATAAGCAATAAAGGTATCCATTTATCTTATAGACTAAGAAATTTCCAAATCAAATTTCTAGATTTGGAGAAATGCCTCAAAGACATAGTTACTATGGTATCTTGCCACATATAATATGCTCCCTTGTATAATGTGTACCCATAATTTTGGCCCAAACTTTCAGGAATACACCCCTAGAGATAGTAGCCAGCTCTCAGCCAGGAGAGATACATCTGAGATGGCTAACACTCCCCTGGTAAATGTGTAGATCTTGATGCCTTTCTCCAACCACCTGCTCTGTGAAAGCTGCCTCTCCTGTCTCTCCTGGAAGCCCTTCCCTCCTCGCCTTAGCGGCTGCAGCTGAGCTGACCACACACCTATCTGGCTGGAAACTTCTGATGCTGCTTGGCACATGGGCAGCCAGGAGGGTCCTTGGGGCCTGTGCAGGGCTCCCAGTCCCCTTTGCATGGCCAGGCCTTGGCCCTCGGCCCTTGCTCTACATGGCTGCGACACACCTCATCACCCTGCTACTACCTCCTCCCCTGATTGCAGTGCTCAGTGGAAATTGCTCTCACCCATTCCTACCAGATCCTCCCAGACTAGAACCCTGGAATCCCAAAATCTCATGCACCTGGCAGGCCCAGTGCAGTGGCCTCAGGAGGCCTCCTGGGCTTCCCACTCCTGAGCCATACTACCCATGTATAATATGCATCCTTACTTTTCCCTCAAAAGTTTGGGCAAAAAAAAGTTTGATTATCCACATCAAAATATATGTTGTTCTGTTATCCCATAGTGTGTAGGCTTTTTGTTCTCATGTTTATTACTTCATGATTATAAAGTAACAGTCTCTACTCCAGGAATCACACCCACATTCATATTGAAACAGGAAAAAGGAAGACAGTTGGCACCGACTACATCTGGTCCTTTTATCAGAAAAGCTCTCCAGAATACTTCACCTTTATCTCATTGGCTAGAACTGGTTTACTTGGCCAGCCTAACTGTAAAGAAAGACATGAAATAAGTACTGAGTAACAGGAGATACGCAAAAAAGAAGGAATTTAGAAGTAGCTGTTCTGTGTGCCTTACCTGGCCCACAAGCATTCTTATTATATAAATGGAAGTTAACTTAGGTCTTATGATCTTGTCTCATTTTTTGTCTTTCAGAGTGGCTGGTGATGGTGGCAGTATTTCCAGGGGAAAAATATGTTCTTTAAAAGCACGAGTAAGATATATATGCTTAGATTCTTATGTGCATGTGTTTTTAAAATAATTATACTCTGTAACTATCATGACAATAAAATTTTAATTTCTCAAATTCAAAACAATTTAATATAAATATAACTACCAGACATGTGTCCACCTAAAACATTGGGGGAAATTTTCATATTTAAGGTAAAAACACTGTATATTTAACATTTTAATTAATAAAAATATTTTCAAGGGAAATAGATGTCTAGGTAAATGGTAACAAAAGGAGCCATCTTAACTCTAAGGATCTAAATACATACTAATACATTATAATTTTTCATTTAAAGGTAATGGAAGATTTATTTACATCAGGGTTGCTACCAATACAAAGCATAGATCTAGCCACATTATAGTGATTAAATTATATATTCTCCTTAACAAAATACTTTAAGCCAGTAGCTCAGATTTAGAGTCTTATCTCATTCCAGCATTTCTCTTTTGTGATTGTTTCTCTACAGCAACTATGTTTTTAGAATATTTGTCAATAATGTTTGACTATAACAAGAAAAGTAGTACGAATCCTGTGGAAGAAACTGAGGTGCTAAGGATCAGACCTGATACAGTGGCTAAAAAACTGGAAAGCCAGTAGTATTGTGGCACTTGGGAAGTATCTCCTTATGTCTGTGATCTCTGATGTCCTTGGAAAACAAAATTCAGGGCCGAGAGAATGTGCTTGTAAGCTATTAGAATACCTGATTAACACAGTATACTCTATAACATAGAGCTAGTATCCCAATCCAAAAATCTTAAGAGAAAGAGCCTTTGACATTTCCTAGACTTACCCCAATTTGAGCTCTTTCCTACCACCACCTTAGTGAGCAGAGTGGGAGATAGAGGAAATAACTATTAAGAAATTATAGGGTGGCGCCTGTAGCTCCAAGGAGTAGGGTGCTGGAAGTGGTGGGTTCAAACCCAGCCCTGGCCAAAAAAGAAAAAAAAATTATAGCGTTTGAGTTTTTGTCCAAGGAGGTACTTTTCCCTTTTCTTCTTAGGAACTCTGGATTCTTTAAGAAGAATCCAGTCTTTACAAGATAACTTGATGTTTGAGTCCCTCCACTGTGTTCAGTTTCTTAGGTTAATAGGCAAATATTCAGAATTTTGTAAATCCTATATTACAATTAGGGAAAAGCCAGAAGGCTGTCATCAGGTGGCTCTGTGGAAGGAAATACAGGGTGTCCATGAAGTTCATGTGCAGTTTAAATTTGACACCTTTTTTAATTGCACACAAACTTTATGGACACCCTGTATAAGTGTCAAATCCTCATGCAGTTGTGGCCTTGCATGCCTAAGTGAGGAACCCACAATACTCTCCCAAAGTTCACCTGGTTTCCAAAGAAAAAACCAAGGGCCTGATGTGACTGAGGAAAGACTAGAAGAGTTATGTATTATATAAGGGTTTTAATGCAAAGTGACTAGGACAGTGAGTGAGGTTTCTGTCAAAATCACCTTAGGAGGTAGCTAAATGTCCCTTGTATTCTGCATATTGCTTATCTGGCCTTACCAGATAGTAAGTTAATTGAGGGGATGATTTACATACATTTAATCTTCCACAAGGCATTTCAATAAATCTGTTTTGGAATAGGGTCAGTGTAAGCTAACTTGTTTCTTTCATAATCTTACACAATTTGTAGTGCTACAGTGTGCCCACACAGTGAACTCCATCTTTAGTTAGTTACGTAATAAAGTCAGCATTTAAGGTAAAAATCACATATAGTCAGATGTATCATTGAAAATTCCTGAAATTGCCAATATACAACCTTATACAGTCCTGTGTATGCAAAGTATATACATAATAATATGTATTATGTAACTATGTATAAAGGAGCACACTTGTAAAGCAGTTTTATAGTATTTGTAATATACTGCTATATTTTACTTCTATATCTTAATAGTAAGTAGCATAGTTAATTACACATATAATTTTATTCACAGAATTTAAATTCCAGAATTACAACTCCATTGTAGTCAGTACTCTATTAGTTATAAATAATGAAACTTGACCATCATTCTGTGACTAGGCTAGCTGATTTTGAATCTCAGCTCTTCCACTTAACTAGCTGGGTAACCATAGCCAAGTTTTTTAACTTCTCTACGTCTCAGTTTCCTCATGTGTAAAATAGTACCTGTGTGTAGCATTGTAAGGATTAAATAGTTGGTTACACACAAAGCATCTAGAACAGCGGTGTATAGTAACTGCTTAATGTTACATAGCAGCAAAACTAAAACCCATAAACCAAGCACTTCCTCTGTGACGCTTAATCGAAGAGTTAACAAATCATATTATAAGGTACTTGAATGTTATTTCAGAATTTTTTTCAGCTTTGTTTTTTTACTTAACTCCATTTTACTTTTTCACTGTTCTTTCTCACTGCAGAATATATGGAAAGTAAAGTACAAAGAAGTGGGAGGCAGGAGCATATTGTCCTGCTGCCGAGGGATAGCAATCCTAACGCTACTTACATTCTGCCGAGGGATAGCAACCCTAACGCTACTTACATTCTGCTGTATTTCATTCATCTTTTTTCTTGTTTTTTCTTTCCATAATTAATTTCATGTTTGATACTCTTATTTTCTTCTTAGTAGAGTAGATTTTCTCTAATGTCAGTAAAGTTTGTGATAGTGAATTACTAGGGAAAAGGGGCCGTGTTGTCATTTTTGACATGTGTCCAGTGCCTCTGCTTTGCATGTCATAGAAGTTTGCTCATTTGAATTGGATAGTTTGGGCTTTGATTCATGAAGAACAGCGTGGTGGTTCCTAGTGAGCAAACACGTTAATGCACTCTACATTTACGGACAATCTTTTCTGGTTAAGGTAACCTTCTGAGACTTTGTTAGAAATTCAGTTGTGGAGTTTGATTCCTTTTCTTCCCCTACGTGGCATTTTGGAGTAGGATAAAAGTTTAGACTCTATCTTTTAATTGGATTCCACCTTTCAAGCAGGGGGAAATTAGAAGTTGTTTTTAATTCTTACAATAGAACCTATGTAAATATTTTTATTAAGTTTAAACTATACAAAGAACAATGTAACTTTTAGCTCAAAAACTTTTTTACAGAGTGAATAAAGGAAAATATAGTAATTAAGTTTTACTTCTTTTTCTCAGGCTGTCTTGATTGATATGGAAGAAGGGGTAGTGAATGAAATCCTGCAAGGACCATTGAGAGATGTATTTGATAGCAAGCAGCTCATCACTGATATTTCTGGCTCAGGAAATAACTGGTGAGAATATGCTCCATGTAAAAATTGTCTGAAAAAAATGAGTAGTCTACATTCTAATAGGTCCTGCTGATATGAAAGCAGGATATAATTTACCTTACAAAGCTAGGGCTTTCAGGCCATCTTTAATAAATGATGGTGTCTCACAATACATAGAAGCCACCTATATTTACTCTTACTCTTACTAGTTTTTTTTTTTTTTTAAGAAAAAGATAAATTGGGTGGTGCCTGTGACTCAGTGAGTAGGGCAGAGCCCCAATATACTGAGGGTGGTGGGTTCAAACCTGGTCCCGGCCAAACTGCAACAAGAAAAGGATAAATCATGAAAAATGAATTTGTGGAATTTCTCTTTGTAAATTGATTTCTGCATAATACTAAATAGTAGCAAAAGTTTTAAATACCATTAGAAACTATTCTCTTACCTATATTATTTGACTCTTTCAAGTTCTCCAATTGGTCAGATACAATAAAATTAACACAGAGATGCAAGCCACACCAGTGTCCTAGTATTCAAACTGAGTTTGGGGCTTTTGGAAGTACATAGTGGTTTCTTTTGTTTAATGGGGGGGGGAAAACTCCAACAAGGATTATTTAAGAATTCACATTGAAACTGTTTTTGCTGCTGTTAAAAAATTTAGTAGCTCCTTGTTATTCAAAAGATTCATGTTCATCATTTTAACTATTGTATTTGCCGCCAGTCCCTCAAGCACATAATGTGGAGTGATTTATAATTTTTCCAAAGTGTGAATTTGAATCTTTTGTTCTGGGAGACTCACTTGGAGAGAACCAGTCACTTCATAAGGGAGCCCACCTAACTGGCTTTTCTCTAATTGTATAACTTAGTAACTTTTGAATTACACCAGAGTACATGTCATAGGAAAATCATTTTCATTCAGTTTAGTGATACTGGCAAATTTGAGCAACCAAAAAAACTAGCAGAGCCTCATGAATATCAGTCTCCCACTATGTGCCATTTAATCTAATAACATTTAACCTTTGTTTTTCTCTTTTTAAACCAGAGTAGGTTAGTATAATTTTTTTTGAATTTTCATGTTTTTCTAGTTAACCACATTTTGCTCTTTTTAAATTTGTAAAATCCACTAAAGTTGAGAGTTTACTTTAAATAGAGACAATAAAAAAAAAAATATGTAACTGAAATCTTATTTCATTATAATTTTACCTTAAGAGAGAGGTTGAGAAGTTAAATTTAGAAATCTATAATGAGCTATCTTACCAGGATATTTGAGGATTATAAATATAGAATATTAAATGTGCTATCTAGTATCTTCAGGATATTATAATATGAAACAAGAATAGATTTTACCTGTTGCAATAAAAATACTTTTTCACATTTTTCTATAAGCTTTTTATAGAGAGAAAGAATATCAGATGAGAAATAATAAAATCAAAAAATAATAAATGCAAAGTCTCTTTTAATGTCTATTTTTATTTCCAGGGCTGTGGGTCACAAAGTTTTTGGCCGTCTTTACCAAGAACAGATTTTAGAGAAACTGAGAAAGTCAGCAGAACACTGTGATTGCTTGCAGTGTTTCTTTGTAATACACTCCATGGGAGGAGGTAAAGTTTATTCACTCATTTGTGCATAACAGTGGTAAAGTATAAGTGGGAATTCACTTTGCAAAAATAAGTTTTGTTTTTAACCTATGCTTGATGAAGATAGAACTATTCATTGTGTATGTTTTTGAATGTATATACATAAGTTTTTTATCTTAAAATTTTTATGAAATTATGTCACTGTAACTAATTTTTCTTAATTTAAGACATCTTGAGAGTGAGTTATGTTGGAAATTTTAGAACATTTTTAGCTACATTTTAAGATGTATGAGCTTTTGAGGAATGCTTGCTTTCTCTTGAGAGTTTGTTTGTCCAATACTATTTCCTAACTAGAGCTAAGCATTTCTCGCATGCTCGTATGTGTGCTTACCGAAGGGTGTCAGTAGCCTTTCTTTAACCACCTTCAAACTTTTCTTAACTCCAGTAAGTGAAAAAAACTCTTTCTCTCATTTTCTTTAAATCATTTCTTGCCTGAGCTCACAAGTTCGAGACCAACCTGAGCAAGAGCAAGACCCTGTCTTTAAAACCAGCCAGGTGGTATAGCAGGCACCTGTCATCCCAGCCACTTGGGAGTCTGAGGCAAGAGGATCACTCAAACCCAAAAGTTTGAGGTTGCTGTGAGCTATGATGCTCTAGTACTCTAGGGAGAGCCAAAAGTGAGACTGTCTCAAAGAAAAAAAAATTATATAATATATATGTATACAGTATATATATATGTATATATACTGTACCAAAGCTGTCAAGTTAAGCTTTTTAAATTGCTTAATATCAAGTGTAGACTGAATACTGTCTTGGTTGAATTTTTCCCTATTCAATCAGTTCTTATAGCATCATAGAGCTATAACTTAAACATGAAAGGAGTGAAATGTACAAAGCCCTCCCAAATTCATTATCAGAGCCAGAAATGGAATTCAGAACTTTAGGCCCCACTGCCCACATTGCCTGCATTTTCTTAACTGAAATTAGATTTGGTAATACATATTCACAGAAATAAGTTGGAAATTATTTCTACAAATAAAACATAAAATTCCAAGTTCATCACAATTATATTCTGAGCCATTTTTGCCTTTTTTTTTTTTAATTTTAATTTTTAGGCACAGGATCTGGCCTTGGCACATTTCTTCTAAAAGTGCTTGAAGATGAATTCCCAGAAGTATACAGATTTGTAACTTCAGTTTATCCTTCCAGTGAGGATGATGTCATAACCTCACCTTACAATAGCATCTTGGCAATGAAGGAACTTAATGAGCATGCAGACTGTGTGTTGCCCATTGACAATCAAGTAAGAAATGACACAGACAGATTTTATGTTAGAGCAGCTCAGTGGCTGGGGTACTTGCCAAAATTATTGAAAAAGTAAAGTTTTAACAAGATAAAGTTTATTAACGACTTACACAGCAACTCGGGCTCACTTCTATTGACTGCAAACTCTGTGGAAAGCCCAGTTTGGGGATTTTAGGCAACCTTGAGGTGTATCAGCTGCTTCTTGGAAGTCTCCCAAAGTCTTAATTAACTCTGTTCTCAAAACACCCCCTCTGCAGGCAGCACCTGTGGCTCAGTAGGTAGGGTGCTGGTCCCATATACTGAGAATGGCCAGTTCAGGCCTGGCCCTGGCCAAACTGCAACAACAACAACAAAAAAATAGCCAGACGTTGTGGCAGGTGCCTGTAGTCCCAGCTACTCGGGAGGCTGAGGCAAGAAGTTGGCCTAAGCCCAGGAGTTGGAGGTTGCTGTGAGCTGTGATGCAGCAGCACTCTATCAAGGGTGATAAAGTGAGACTCTGTCTCTTAAAAAAAACAAAACACCACCACCACCCCACCCCACCCCACCCCTCGCAAAATCTTAATGCACTCTATTCCCAAAATAGCCCAGGTCAGCTGACCCAAACCAATCCAAAGTAGCCTAACCATATCTGTCATCCGCCCTGCTCAGGTAGCTAACTACCTGTCATTTGATATATATATATTCAATCCTGTGTTGTGCTTTTGTGTTTCAATGAAACATTGTCTTCACTGTTGAGCTTTCTTATCTAAGGGAAAAAATAAGTTTAAATTGTTTTTCTTTCTCTTTCTTTCCTAGTAAAATATCATCTGTGTCCACTCTCCTTAATAGCTTCTCTCCCAATATTTTTTCCTTAAAAGTCTTTATTTGACATCATTAGCAAAATTGACCTGGTGGTGAATTCTAGAAAGTTGGATACAACTGTGAAGCCAAAGAGTCTGGTTACTTCAAGTGTTGGGGCTTTAAAAAAACAACATAAGAAGCCCTTTGATGCAATGAACAACATCGTGGCAAATTTGCTACTCAACCTAACAAGGTAATTCTATCTGGTAGTCAAATTACTGTCCTTTTAACGATGTTTTGAATTTTTGTAGCAGCATTTTTTAGTTATTCTAAGTTGTAAGAGCTTGTTTTGTTTGATATTCCATCTAGAGTGGTAAAGCAGAACTTTAATTTCTATGACTCCAAAGCAGCATTTCCCCAAGTACATTCCATGGTGTATCTGATACACCATGATGCCAAGGTGTCATATGATATAAAAGGTTTTGGGGTGACCTAACTTATATAACACTTGGTTGGATAAAATTAAATGTGTATTTTTGATGTAGAATGTCTTGCTCTTTCAAACCAGCTAATACATAGTTCCTGTTTAGCTGGTCCAAAAGATTTCCATGAGTTTGGTATCAGAGACTGCTTTAGCATTACAGATTATAGAGGAAACCTTTAAGGAATTCAGTAAAGTTTCCAGAATAATTATTGACCTGTATGTTTTTAACTCAAATATAAAGTCTGTTTTAAATGAGATATTTAATATGTGTAGTAACCAACTGTAATAGTATGTTGGTCACACTTTAGTTAATACAGAAGGAAGAATTACTGTAGATGTAACATGTTACATTTTAATTGTCTTCATAATACAGAAAACACATCTGCATTGAAAGTACAGTGTACAAAAGGATTTGAGAAACTGCCTGCTGAATAAATCAAGTTGCTTTTAAAGTATATAATGCTAAAATTAAATTTTTTTCATTGTTTTAATGTTAATTTTTTAGCTCTGCAAGATTTGAAGGGTCCCTTAATATGGACCTTAATGAAATCAGCATGAATTTAGTTCCTTTTCCTCAACTTCATTATCTTGTGTCAAGCCTGACACCTCTGTATACATTGGCAGATGTTAACATTCCTCCTCGAAGGTAAGATGTAAGTTTATTTCAGTTTTTTGAGAACTTGAATTACTTTAAAAAAAATTTTAAGGCTTGGCGCCTGTGGCTCAAGTGGCTAAGGCACCAGCCACATACACCTAAGGTGGCGGGTTTAAATCCAGCCCGGGCCCGCCAAAACAACAATGACGGCTGCAACCAAAAAATAGCCGGGCATTGTGGAGGGCACCTGTGGTCCCAGCTACTTGGGGGGCTGAGGCAGGAGACTTGCTTGAGCCTACGAGTTGGAGGTTGCTGTGATGCTACAGCACTCTACACAGGGGGACAGCTTGAGGCTCTGTCTCAAAAAAAAAAAAAAAATTTTTTTTAAGAGAAAAATGTTTGCAATAATGCCAGTTATTTCTCTGTGTCCTTTTATTTGTGAGAATTAATAAAATACAGTTGATGGTGATCATTTTTCCATTAGATGCACAGTTTTTTATTTAGAAGTAATTGTTTTAAAATGTCAGTATTAAACTACTTGAAATTTAATCTGATGATTAAACTTATAGCTTGTCAAAATTAATAAAGATTTAATATTTACTAAAAGAGATTAAATGTCTTGCATTCTGACAACTTAAGTTTGAATCTTCAATAACTATTAAGTGAGAGAACCTTGCCCAGATGACTTAAACTTTTCATCTTAGTTTTTCTCTTCTTTGAAAACTGAAAGAGTACCTACCTCGTATGCTTATTAAAGGTAGGTTATATGAGAGTGTGTTTTAAAGTTCTTATAGCTCAGCACCTTGGAAGACTTTCAGATGTAAATCTACATGGTAGCTATCATATATCATTTTTAGAAAACTTTGTTTTTTTAACTGTATGTCATTTTTGAGCATAAAGGTTACATCAGTTTGACAAAAAATGTGGTTTTGAAAAGTGCTCTTAGCATATAGAGTTAGAATGAGCTTGGAGAGTTCTCACTGCATTCACAGTTGCCTGAGGGAAAAGGTCCTAACAAACTCTATAAAGGTAGAGTAAGTGAAAACTAAATTAAAGATTCCTTTTTATAAAGCTTTGCAAGGTAACAATTCTATACTTTAGGAATGTCACAAGTGATACTGATATTGTTCCCTTTAAGCCAGTAGCAAATGACCACTTATGCCAACTAATAGGTAGGACTCCTAATCTGCGTAGGACATAACAAAGTAAGCAGAATGCAGTGTATGGACCATGGTGATCATTAAATGTCCACTGGTATCAGCCCAGCACATTAAAATGTGGTCAATTTCCTTTGTGAACACACAGAATGTCAATTAGTGCTTAGCTATTTATTGTACAATCATGACGATTTAGACTTCTTTGTATTTCAAATTCTTAAAAAATAAAGAGGTGAAATTTCTAATAAAGTTCACCATGATGAAAAAAATGTTCTGACTTGGTCCTTCAACCTGAATGTTTCAAAGTCTATTAAACATCTTGTAATCCTAGTTGGTACATTTTGATAAAAATAATGGCTGTCAACTTTTTGGGGGGCGGTGGTGAAGGCTTGTTTTTAAATTAAAATGTATTCGCAGGAACCTGGAGGGAACTTTAAAAATTTTATTCTCAAGGAATTTGTCACACTCAACAGCATCTGTCACAATGTTCCTACCGTCTTATAGGGTGGGGGTGCTCTTTGCTTCTGCCCTACTCGTAGATAATCTAAAGGCTGCCATCATTGCGTATGGACCCAGTCATTTATCCTTGTGTAGATATAAATTGGAGTTTTGTTTTTGTTTTTTGAGACACAGTCTTGCTCTGTTGCTCAGGCTAGAGTGCTATGGCCTCAGCCTAGCTCACAACAACCCTCAAACTCCTGGGCTCAAGAAGTCCTCCTGCCTCAGCCTACCAAGTAGCTGGGACTATAGACATGGCCACCATACTTTGCTAATTTTTTATTTTTAGTAGAGATGGGTCTTACTTTGCTCAGTCTGGTCTCAAATTCCTAATCTGAAGGGATCCTCCCACCTTGGCCTCCCAGAGTTCTAGCATTACAGTAGCCACTGTACCTGTCCAGTAAATTGTTTTAAAATGGTAATATTAAAAGCAAAAGGCATAGTTTTAAAATCCTCTTCAGTTTTTTTGTTTGTGTGTTTTAAGACAGAGTCTCACTTTGTCACCCTCAGTAGAGTGCCATGATGTCATATCTCACAGCAATCTCAAACTTCTGGGCTTAAGTGATCCTCTGTCCTCAGCCTCCCAAGTAGCTGGGACTACAGGCACCTGCCACAATGCCCAGCTAATTTTAGAGACAAGGTCTCACTCTTGCTCAGCAATCCACCTGCCTAGGCCTCCCAGAGTGCTAGGATTACAGGCATGAGCCACTGTGCCCAGCCTCCTCTTCAATTTCTTATCAGTACTTTCCAAACAAGTGAGGGTGGTTTTGGTTGTGGATTTTGTTAACAAAGTCCATTGCTGCCAAAAGAAAATAAATAATCACATATGAATAAAAGTATCCTAATATTATAAATAATTTATTACTAATTTTTATATTTTTATGAGACAAGAAAATAATTCAGGATGACTTTTCCTGCCTGCTTGTCATATAGTGGTTCTTTTTTTTTTGCAGTTTTTGAACCCACCAGCATATGGGGCCAGTGCCCTACTCCTTTGAGCCACAGGCATTGTGGCTTAAGTGGTTCTTAATCTTTTCTGGATTTCCATCACTGTTGAAATATCTATACTTTAACTCCATAAAATGTAAAAAATCACAAGCACACCAGAAGTTTGAACAAAATCAGAAGATTCATGAATCCCCCAAAACTCACCTGTCACTTAGGAAGTGCTCTCTCTTTTCTTCCGTAGCATCCTTTGATAGTTTCCTCCTAATTGTTCTTAACTAATTTATGATATATTTCACAGAGACAAAGCAATGACCCTAATATTACAGGTTTTTATTTAGTTTTGATAGTTTGGATACTAAAAGTAGATAAGCATACTGAATTACATAATAATGATAGCAGTTCCAGAAATCAGTATGACGTAGAGCTCACTAGTGCTGAGGTCAACATTTTGTACCTACCTGAAATGATCAGTCTACTGAAGAAGCTTTCCCCCCTCCCACAAAAAATAGGTATTTGTATAACTACTCCTATTTTATCATCAGGATGCTTTGAGTATATGATAGCTGGCTATTTAATAAACTGTATTTAGGGGCAGCTCCTGTGGCTCAAAAGGATAGGGCGCTGGCTCCATATGCCAGAGGTGATGGGTTCAAACCCAGCCCTGGCCAAAAACTGCAAAAAACTACAAAATAAAAAAAATTAAACTGTATTTAGAATATGTGATGTATTCTAATATTAGTACAATATTTGGTGTAAAGTTCATTTACCTGTTAGATAACTGTCTTTTCATTTTATAGTTATATGTAGAAGGAAGAAGTAATATTTTGTATAAACAATATTTCTTTCATTGTTCTAGATTGGATCAGATGTTTTCAGATGCCTTTAGTAAAGATTACCAGCTAATTCGGGCAGACCCCAAACATAATCTTTACCTCGCCTGTGCCCTCATGGTTAGAGGAAATGTACAGATTTCAGATCTTCGCAGAAATATTGAACGGTTTGGTTTATATTTTTCAAGATAATTTACATGTACTGCTTGAGACAGCGTAGCGTAGTAAGGACTGCTGCTTTTCAAATTCTAGCAATGCCACTTACTAAAGTGTGACCCTGAGCAAGCCAGATAGCCTCTTTGTTCCTAGTTTTCTTCAAGTGTTTACACTTGAAGTGTAAACATAATAGTAGTAATAATACAAAGGTATTATTTATGAGTTTTAAGTGATTTATGAAAGTATTCTAAAATTGTAGCTGATGTTGTTTTCAGTTACTACCAGGACCATTACTGCAGTGCTTTTACGTTTATTTTACAACTTAGCGATAGTCTTGTTTTTAGGAAAACTACTCTACTGAAATATGTACAAAGTAAAAAAAAATTATAATACTGGGCAGTGCTTGTGGCTCAGTGGGTAGGGTGCCAGCCCCATATACCAAGGGGGTGGGTTCGAACCCAGCTCCAGCCAAACTGCAGCAAAACAAATAGCTGGTGTTGTGGCGGGCGCCTGTAGTCCCAGCTACTCAGGAGTCTTAGGCTCCATCGCCTAAGCCCAGGAGTTGGAGGTTGCTGTGAGCTGTGACACCATGGCACTCTACCAAGGGCAATAAAGTAAGACTCTGTCTCTATGTTAAAAAAAAAAATTATAATACCTTCATTTCTTTTTACCCCTAATTTCTAATCTTAAGGAATGTGTTTCTAGCTTTAAGAATCACCATCACAGCCAGTTTAATGTCCCCCATCACACATCCCTTAGTTCACCATGTTACCGCTAATAGTAAAAAAGTTAACTTAGTTTATAAACAATGCAATTAGATTAATACCATCAGTAATATGCTTAGTTCTTTGTGGGTTTTTTTAATCTCAGATTGAAACCCTCTCTAAAGTTTGTCTCCTGGAATCAAGAAGGCTGGAAGACCAGCCTGTGTTCAGTACCTCCTGTGGGCCATTCTCACTCCTTATTGGCATTAGCGAATAACACCTGTGTGAAGCCTACCTTCATGGAACTGAAAGGGAGGTTCATGAGGCTCTATAAGAAAAAGGTAATTATCGTCCACCTTTGTAACTGCATGTGTGTATTTTGGCTATTTAAGAATTACACTGTTAGAACTATCACGTGATCTTGTTTCCTATATTTATTGTACTGATTGTAAGTGAAGAGAAGAAGCTTGCTCATACTGTTAGTGCTTCTACATGAGAAATTTCATGACTGTCTAAGATTGAGGCAAAATGGTCCATTTGACACAAGTTATCTTTTCTTTTATAAAGTTGAGTGAACTATAGTTTTAATAGTGCCTATTTACCTTATAGGATAATTGTATATATCAAAGTTCCTGCAGTGGTAAACATTATCCCGTTTTGTTGATTGATAGGCTCACCTGCATCACTATCTACAAGTTGAAGGGATGGAAGAAAGCTGTTTCACCGAAGCTGTGTCATCCCTGTCAGCTCTCATACAGGAATATAACCAACTGGAAGCCACAGAAAGCGTGCCTGTGCCGGATTTACCTCGGTTAAGCGTAGCTATGTAAAAAAGAAACCAAAAAACTTCTTCATAATTTCACATTGTTTTTTGTCACCCTTCTGTTTCAGCATTTTTGCAGTTCAAAATGTCTAGTTTGTTTCGTATCAGGAAGTTTTTATAAAATACTTTGTTGCTGATACCAGTGTACAAAATTAGTGAAGGCCTAGTACCTTTATGTCAAGCATTTGTCTTCTGAAAAGTGCCCTTTTGTAAAGTGAGAGAATAAAGTTCTCCAATATTTTGCATTATTTATAGCCTAATATTTAGGCATATATACACTAATAATCATGTTTGCAATAAAAACCTTACACAGATATATTTTTATATTTATTTATAATTTATATTTTGATATTCTGTTTAAATTATCTGATTTGCTTTAAAGTAGGTACTGGGAGTAGGAGAACACAATATCAATATTTCCATGTCATATCCACTGACTTTTCAAGGATAGGTTTTTATTACAGCTGTTAAAGATGTTTTGTTTCTTCTTTGGATAACAACTTACTTGCACTCAAGAGTCACAATTAAAACACTTCACATGTATTTATGTTAAATTATTTTTTAAATAATTGCTTTTCAAAACTATTTGTAATAATAAAAGTTCATCTTTATAAGCAGCGCTATTTATTATTTTGCATGTAACCATTTATACAAGTGAACAGAACATTAATCAGCTTGATACCATCTTCCAAATTTTACAATAAATGGCTATACTTGTCTAGTGAAATTGCTCCAATTATTGTAATCTTCGGTTTTAGTCTTAATATTTTAAATCATAATTTATATATAAGAAACCATAAGTTTCTTTCCTTTGCAAAGCAATAATACTGTTATTGGTTTTTATCTTGGAATTTTTTTAACTTTCTACAGTATTTAATTGGATCACAATTATTAATAGTCACCAGAGAAGTTCTGTTTTCTCTTTTCTAAAAGAAACCATAACTGATAATTAGGATAGGGTAATGAAAATTGTAGTATAATCTTCCATTCAAGAATTAATCCAGAATTATAGAAAAATTAATTGCCCTATAATGATTATCAACTGATGAGAGTCTAGGCCACATTCTCAAGTAGGGATCAAATTTTAAAAATTTCATATGCTTTTTTATACATCTTCAATAAAGCATTCCAAATTATTTTGTAAAATATTTACTTGTAGAGTGTATAATTTTTCATTATATAGGGTCGCCATTAAATTCGTGTGCAATTGCAAAAGTCCTGAATAATATGGACTGCTCAGATGGCACTACATGTGTGTACTCTGATCTGATTACTCAGATGGGACCAAATGTCTTGTACTCTGATTTCTAAAATATACTGTACTTTATATACTATATAACTACTATATACCCTATAGTATATTTTAGAAATCAGAGTTCCAGTTTTTCAAATTTTATATATATTTTTAGGAGAACCTTTTTTTAAAAGCTTCTAAAGCCTTAAATACACTGATGTGAGAATAGCTGGGCATTCTTACTGTTGTAAAACCAGTAAAGTAGATTTGCTACCCTTTTATAACCACTCTAATTTTTTGATTATGTGACATGATTGACTTTCCCCCCATGTGCTTGGCTTTATAGAATCTTAAGTTCAGAAAACATATCTCCAGGTTCTCTGCAGTTTCTTTGACATACACAAGATACAATCCACAGCATCTTCCATTTAAATGACCCATCATTTGGGCAATCAAATTGAATGGTAATCATTTTAGACTTATTCGGGATACAGCATCTCTTATCCAAGCATATTCCACAAAAAGTGGGTTTATAACTCTGAGTACTTGAACATCCAGAAAAGACAAACTTTTCAGCTCTGGAGAGCTGGAAGGTGGGTTGGCATGTTTTTCCTTTGGGGATCTGAAAAGATACATAAATTGGATTATAAGAGTTTAGAAAGTTGATAATATTGAGAACATTTTATTGAACATACATACAGATGTGATTATTTCCACAGTGCTATGTAGTTAACTGCCAGCACCCTGTCTTCTCTGCCTTTCAGTTCCCCTCTCACCAGAGGTCTGTCCTTCATAGGATCAACTCCTCAGTGGGTTTTGCTATCCTAGATTTCTGTTCTCTTTAATATCAGGGGCCACGTGTTATTAAATGCTTATTTACCTGAAACTTAGAAAATTCCCTAACATAGTACAGACACTTCGGTGGAAGGGTAGATGGATAAATATCTTAAGCCCCTTTGAAATTGAGCTGTCAATTTGCTAATGTAGGGAATAATTTAGGAATGAAAAGGATTTTGTAGCATGTCAAAAAAATTACTCTGAGACAGATGTCTTGCCTACTCTAAGAAATAGGACCAGCTATCATTATGCCAAGTTGCCTAGGAGTAAGTATTTTGCCATAGTCCCTTAGCAAGTTTACTATCTAAGCACAGAACATTTTGTAAATGGTGTGGCCTCCTTTCAAGTCACTGATAAATAACCAAGATCAGAGCGGCTCTGATGTTCATAATACCTACTTTCGTAATTATTGTATAGCAACCAAAATATTCATTGCTTTGATTTCACCGTATACAACTAATATAGAAAAAAATTACAATCTTAAAATGATGTAAGCTTAACACAGTACACATGGAGGGCTACCACAAGAAGTCAGGCTGATCAAGACTTACCTTGTTAAGCATACAGTGTCTGGATTCAAAAGAGTAACATTACCTCTGGTAAAATTTTCCCCACAAAGGGCAGTTAGATTAATATCTGATTTCCTCTGAGATAGTTTGAGTTCTTACAGTGAGGTTGATTTATTTTTCTAAGAACCAAATACCATCCCTCTCCCCAAAACACAAACATATTTCTAAGGAATCTCTTAATATTGAATCGTAAGTTCAATCTAAACCTTACCTTTACTATCTTTGAAATATTCCTGTTGCAAGGCTGAATATAACACAGTCTTTTCTCTTTTCTCATTTCACAGTTGCTGTTTTCATTTGTTACCCTATCAGATATTCCCATCCCACATGTTCTAGAACAAGGAGTCCACTTTGTTGCTTGCACAAGACATTTTCTTTTCCAAATAAGTGGAAGATTTCTATAAGCTAAAATAAAGGGGAAAGTACATGTGTATACATATATAGTATTTGTATAGATAGAGCATGTTAAAATATTTTTAGGCTAATAAAGAGATCTGAGTTTTTGTTTTTGTATACTGTGTCTCAGAATAAAAGTTTATGGTCTAACTTATCATTCTGTGTCCCTTTTCCCACTCCCCAAATAACCAAGTCTTACAGTTCAATTTCTTAGGAGGAATAAAAATATCTTTGAAAAACTGAGTTGATTTACCCATTTGTATCTTTCTGCTTAGCTTTTCTTCTGAATACTAAACCTAAGCTGTGTCCTGATTGATATTTGTCTTTTCCCTGGTTCTTGCCTCATTTCCAGCACATACTAAGATAAACATTAGTAGGATTAGGGAATTTGGGCTATTGACCAGAATAGTGGGATCTTATTGTTAAAATCCATCCTATGTTAAAATCTAAAATACAAAAATATTCAAGAATTATGCTATCTGGCTCAGTGCCTGTGGCTCAGGTGGCCAAGGTGCCAGCCACATACACCTAAGGTGGTGGGTTCGAATCCAGCCCTGGCTCACCAAACAACAATGACGCCTGCAACCAAAAAATAGCCGGGCGTTGTGGCGGGCGCCTGTGGTCCCAGCTACTTGGGAGACTGAGGCAGGAGACTCACTTGAGCCCAGGAGTTGGAGGTTGCTGTGAGCTGTGATGCTACAGCACTCTACCCAGGGGGACAGCTTGAGGCTCTGTCTCAAAAAAAAAAAAAAAAAAAGAATTATGCTATCAATGAGACCAGTTTTCCTCCTTGTGGTTTAACCTAGTCCCTTAAAAAATTCTCTAATAAATTTGAATAATGTTACACTGAACTAAATAATCATTATATGCTAAGTCATTGCAAATGTGTTATTTAGCTTAATTTTCACATTCCCTATGTTTTTTGTTGTTTGTTTTTTTGAGATAGAGTCTCAAGCTGTCACCCTGGGTTAAGTGTTGTGGCATCATAGGTCACAGCAACCTCCAGCTCTTGGGCTCAAGCAATCCTCTTGCCTCAGTTTCTCTATTTTTAGTAGAGACAGGTGTCTTGCTTTTTGCTCAGGATGGTCTTGAATTTGTGAGCTCAAGCAATCCACCCATCTCCCAGAGTGCTAGGATTACAGATGTGAACCACCTTGTCCAGCCCACATTCCCTATGTTATCAGCCTAAGGTACTCTCCCAGGGAATAAATGGATGAATGGGTCTTTAGATAGGTAGCTAAGTGGGTGGACAGATAGAGCCCCACCATTGTCTGCTGCTTTGGAGAAACACAAGGAGCAGGGGGGAAATAATAAGATTACAAGGGAGTATAAGTGTTTTCCATCTCCATGTAAATTCACTGGGGGCTTCTTATGAAGGAATCAGGCCCTTGGTCCATTTTATATAACTACATAGCAATCTATTGTCTCAAGGCATTTCCTTAAGGTTAATGTACTTTTGTAAATGGATGCTTTAGACATAAGGTGATGACTTGAGTCTGCATAGAAAAATTCTGGCTACTTAAAAAGGAACCAAATATCATAGTAATTTCTTCTCCCTCTCTTACTTATGGAATTTCTCACTTATTAAATTTGCCTGTGCTTTGTCTTAGAATTAAATCTCCTCTTCATTTTCTGGTCAAAAAAAAAAAAAAAGAAAGAAGTTAAAAGAAGCAGAAACATGAAGATACCTGGAAAGAAGAGTACAGTTTAGAGCCCTCAATGCAGGAAACAGATTAGAAGCCTGGCACACGTCTGCAATAAATGAAGGTAAGTTAGATTTCCGCATCACCAGTAATGCCACTTGTTAAACAGCTGTATTTCTGGAATTGAATGTTCATTTAAAAGCAAGAAAACTAGAAGATATTTTTAAAGGAAAAAGTTTAGTGTTTAGTGAGCATTAAAAAAGCATGAGGACATTCCAACCATGGACTACGTTATTATCACAAATATCTTTTAAAGTGTGTGTGTTTTGTTATCATGGTTAATTTTATAGCCAAATTCCTGTGTAGCTCATCAATACAGTTGCACGGTTAAGCAGAGATGTTAGATGAAATATATACTTTCTCTGAAACATATCTAGGCCTAAATCTCAAATACTGGAGAGCACTTAAGAGATTTTCCGATTTTTTGTAGCAAAGTGCTAACTGCTCAAGACTGATCATTTAAGGCCTTCCCTGACCAGGCTTCAAGTGACTCTACTGGAACTGCTCTAACTACACAAACAAGACCAACCTAAACTTGATCCAAAGAGCTTTTCTTGTGAAAAATTGGTTCACACATGGGTTCTAAGAAGAACCTCATGGAGTCAGTAGGATCCAATGCAGAAAGCCAACTGTTTGGTACGTTTCGAAAAAAGAACAATTTGGCTTATAATTTTAGAAGTTCTAAAGCATTAGTAGCTGAATCGGTCCCTGAGGGTGTTTCTTTCCTAGTTTTTTAATATAAAACTCATCTTTCTATAGTTGCTTTTATTAAACATCCACATAACAAAAGTGAACTTAAGAGTTTTTAATATATACAAATATTCGGTATTTCCATGGCATCTTTCAGTAAGTTCTTAATCAATAAAAAGGCATTCTTGATTTCTTGATGAGAACACAGAAATATGAACAAGAACCAGACAGCAATACCACCCCTTGTCAACCTTCTTCTTCTGCGCTAAACTTGCTGGCATTTTTGAAACTCCTGTCTCCAAAATACCCTGGTGCTTAAATAAGTTGCTAAATCAAAGTAGACAAGAATATAAGATTTATGAGTATATTTAAGCTAGTTGCTAATGGCCAGTGCTCAAGATCAGTAATCACATTTCATTTTTCTTACTAAATACATAGTGTGTGTGTGTTTACAGACAGGAGATGAGTAACAATTTCAGAGTGAGAGGACTTCATATCAGTTGTCTATTTGCAGAAATAATATTTACAAGTTCAAAGCCTATGTTGGTCCTCAAATATTTTTATCAGGTGGCTTCCATTTCTGCTTGTATGATACAGAAAAGTTGCCTTTGAAAAGTTTAAGAACTGAATAGTCAAGCTTCTTGCCAGTAACTGAATAATACAAATAAAAGTCTCTCCAGGGTACACATGAACAATATTTGGTCAATGTCTCTGAGAAGGGGTTGGGAAGAAGGAGAGGTATAAGATTTAGAACTGTTTTCTTACCTAGTAAATCTTTTAAAAATATTTTACCAGAAAAATCTAAACCATTATAAAGTTTTCTTATCCGATACTTACACCTGCCTGAGGCAAATACTAAGTAAGATGGTACCCTCAAACTAAGTTTCTTTCTGACTACCAATTAATAAGTCCTTACCGAGTACCTATGACACGTACAAGGAACATGAAGCAAACCACCAAAGTCAAACATGAAAACTAGCGCTGCTTATGAGCACCTGGCATTGTTTTGTGGCTTGTCGAAAGCTGCCCTGGTAGCCGTTCCGGGCCACAGTTTGATTGATCAGACGTCTTTCCCCCTTTAGCTGCAGAGCAGCGACGGCCAGCCAGCTTCGGGATGAACAGAGGCGTGCAGCCAATGGCCCCACTCACACAGAGGCAGCTGAACAGGGGACTGGGCTGAAACACTTGGCCATTATGATAATGCACCCTGTTGAACTCACATCCAACCGCGATAAGGTCTGAAAAGCGAAAAGAGCAAAATCACCAAAGAAGCCATGACCTGTAATAGTCTAGACCTCCAAGTATAGTATAAGCCTTAGAAATAGCTATCCTTTGTGAGAAGAAGCTCAACTTCATTAGGAACCTCCTTCACAAAACATCTGCATAAAGATTAAAATGAGGTATTTTCATTAACTGTAGGCCATACACCCCAAATGAGCACTTCCAGTATTAAAAGCACGGTTCTGAAGTAAAGTTAATTTTAAAAATCACCCTAAGTATAGCAGTAGAGGACTGTAAATCTGAGAGATGAGTTGATGCCTGACAAGCCAATTTTTCCCAGACATCCAATAATAGGCTAAAGCATTGGTTCTCAACCTTCCTAATGCCATGGCCCTTTAATCCAGTGCCTGTGGGTTGCAACCCACAGGTTGAGAACCACTGGGCTAAAGTATATTCTTAGGAAGACAGGAAAAGTGAGTATCTAAAGAAACCATAATTTGACTACAGTTCGGCAAGGTAACTGATTTTTTTGTTAAGAGAATTAAAGGAGACGTTCACTTCCCCTGAAGGATATTCCTCACCTTCAGAATCAGCCTTTCTCCAAGTATGGTCCACCAACCCTTGGCAGTACCTGAGACGCCTTCAGGAGTTCAAGGTCAAACCTGTTCAGAACCCTAATGTGGCTGGCCATTTTTACTGTGTTGATACTCGCACTGATGCTAAAAAGTTAATGGTGGCTAAAACTGCTGTTGCCTTAGCATGAATCAAACTGTAGTCATTGTATTTTTCTTTGTCTTATACTTAAAAAAAAAAAAAAGAGTGGTGTCTGTGACTCAAAGGGCACCGCCCCCATATGCTGGAGGTGGTGGGTTCAAACCCAGCTCCAGCCAAAAAGAAAAACCTACCAAAAAAAATAAAGGAGGGGCAGTGCCTGTGGCTCAAAGGAGTAGGGTGCCAGCCCCATATGCCGGAGGAGGTGGGTTCAAACCCAGCCCCGGCCAAACCACCCCCCCCCAAAAAAAAGAAAAAAAAGAAAGGCCAGTTTTGCCAATAAATATCCTTGATGATGTAAAAATTACTAATTTTATTAAATTGTAAGTATTGAGTATGTCTTTTTAATATCTTGTGTGACAAACAGGAAGTATATATAGAACAGTCTACATACCAAAGCATAATAGCTGTCTTTAGGAAACTTAAAAGAATTATGCCATTGTTCAAGATGTGAGCTGAACTAGCCACTTTTTGGTGGGAATTTTACTTGAAGAAATGACTGATGACAATCAATGGTTATTCAAACTTGAGTAGCTGGGGAACATTTTCTTGAAAACAAACAACGTAAGTCTGTTGCTTCAAAAAAAAAAAAAAAAAACAACTGATGGTATTTGTTGCCAATGATGGAATTCAAGCTTTTGAGCAAAACTTAGAATTTTAGAAAACTTGTATCTACCACTGAGAGCTTTCCAGCTACACAATATGTAGACTTTGATGATGAGAGTGGTATTAATTCATGTGATTTTTTTAAAATATCACATAAGTAAGTGTATCAGCATTTTGAACATCTACAGAACATAGTGAACAGTGAACTGATATTTTCCAAATAATGCATAGAATGACAGAATTATGCATACGTGAAAGACTCATTTCAAGTGGGTCTTGGATAAGCCAGTGTCTTCTAATGCCACAGAGTTCAGTTGATTGATGTGGTTTCAGATTTCATGATGCAGATAATTTTTAAGAAACTCCCACTTGTCAAGTTTTAATATAATATCACAAAATAGTATATGCATAATTATCTGAAAATCCTGTGAAAATATTCTCTTTTCAATTATATATCTGTGTGAAGCTAGATTTTTTTCATATGTTTCAACTAGAAAAACATAACTACACATTGAAAGCAAAAGCAGACATGTCAATCTAGAGATTTGTCAAAATGTAAAACAACGCCACTCTTTTCACTCCGTTGTTTTGGTTTGGAAAATAAGTTTTTTCATTAAAAAAAATTCCCCCCCTTAATCGCCAATGGGTTTTTCATTTTTAGGTGAATTAGTGAATATTTTTAAATTTCTAATTCATTATTAAATATCCAGTAGATAAAACCCATGTAAAAGCTCTTGGGTCCTCATTAATTTCTAAGATTAGAAAGGGGTCCTCAGACCAGAAAGGTCTTTTAAAGTTATTCTAGATGAGGGATCAGTAAATTTTTCGTAAAGGTCCAGATAATAAATATCTTCACTTTTGCAGGCCATGGAGCCTCTGTGAAAACCGACCCTGCCACTGCGAAGGAAGAGACCCCTTGTAAATGCACAGGCCACCTTCTAAGTAAAGCACTATTTACAGAAACAGGTTGAGGGCCAAATTTGGCCCCCAGGCCATATAGTTTGTGACCCCGGGTATAGATTATCCCCCATCCCCATCCTCCTGGCTGTGCTCTGTTAACAAAGTCTCACCACATTTTGTGTGAAATTACTTATAGAGAGTTCTGGCACAATAAATTTAACTCTGCAAGGGCAGAGCCGATATCTTTTTTTTTCTTCTTCCTATTGTGCCCCAGTTGCTGGCAACAGCAGTCGCAGTGGATGCTTACGAAGTGTTTGTGAGGTTAATGAAGTGATCTGCCCAGTTTGGGAGAGGGACATCCTGAATGCCAGAGTCGGAAAGGTCATGTTTTTCCCATAGAGTTCCCATCATTAAGAACCATTTTTGAGAGCCTGCTGCATACCAGATATTGTAATGGGTGTTTTAGGTGTTATGTCATGATTTCATTTGATCCTCCCAGCAAATCTATAAGCTAGGACATACACATGATGGAACTGAGGCACAGAGAATTAAACAACTTGATCAAGGTTACTCAGCAGCGCAATCAGGATTCAAACCCAGATCTCACATTCTCAACCAATGCAATATAATGGTGACCATGGTCAGGCTATCAGCCTTACATGGCTCTGCACATTCAGTCTGACTCCAAAGATAAAGCCTACCTTTCCTTCATTCCAAGCTCATTCCCAAACCTCTGATAGTAGTTGGCCTTCCCACTTAGACTTTTCTACAGAGAGACTAAACCATCCAGGTGACGAGAATATTTCTCTTCCCTTAGAAATTTTAATTGTTATCGTAAATAATGTAGCATCCTGAATTAGTATCAGTGTGTTGTAGGTTTAGATGGCTAGAATCCATCTCCAGAATTTAGAACCATAAATCTGGGGGTCAGGTTGTGCTTTGGGGTGGGCTCCGCCATCTTTTTTGCAAATTGCAGTAAAAAGCATAGTAACTTCATTAATTGAGAAGGCTGAGGTTAAAGTAGTATGTCTGAATATTAGCCATACATCTTTATATTTTTAAGCAGGATTTTTTTTACATTTATAATTTTTATTCATTAATTAATGTAACACGGAAATCTACATTATTGTTTTATTAAATGGTAGTTTCCCACAATACATGGATGTTCCAAGAATTATTTCACCAATCCTCTAGCAAACTTTCTTTTTCCATTCATCTGTTAATACTTAATCAGATATGTTGCTTGTGTATGTTCCAATTTGTCACTCGATAGTGTTAATTATCTGTATTTGTTTTGTTGTTTCTGTTTTTTCTTTGATTTGGTTAATTTTTTTTCATGGGTTGGTTTGGTTTTGACAAGCTAGTTTTCATTTTTATATAGTCATATCTGTCATTTCTTATATTTTCTGATTTTGATGTCTTGTTCCAAAATACCTTACACATCCCAAAACTATACACATGCCTATTTTTTTCTAGTTTTAAATTCCCTTTATAAACTATATTCTAAAATTTGAAATGTATGCTGATACAAGGCATTAAATTAGGAGACAGGATAGCAAGGGATTGACAGACCCCCACAACGCCTGCGTTCAAATTCCAGCTCTACTCCTGACCAGCTGTGTGGACACTGGACAAATTCCTTAGCTTCTCCGTATCTCGATTTAGCAGGATTATTTTTCATTTACAGAAATGGCTGAATTCAGATTGCTGACAGTATTAATAAAAGCTGTCATTTTATGGCACTTTAAGAAAGCAGACTCTGTTACATCATTTCTCCTATTTTCCTTTTATTTGTGAGAGAGAGACAGGGTCTCACTTTGTCACCCTCCATAGAGCTCTATAGCGTCATAGCTCACAACAACCTCCAACTCTTGAGCTTAAGCGATTCTCTTGTCTCAGCCTCCCAAGCAGCTGGGACTATAGGCACCCGCCACAACGCCCGGCTATTTTTAGAGATGGGGTCTCAAACCTGTTAGCTCAGGGCAATCCTCCCACCTCAGCCTCCCAGAGTATTAGGATTACAGGCGTGAGGCATGATTTCTCCTATTTTCTATCATTAAAAGCAATCCCCTGAGAAAAACTGCGAGATGACCTCAATGCAATTGAAAATGGTTTTGGAATATGTGTAAGCATCTGCTCATTTCACATGGGGTCCAACACAATGGAGCCAGTCCCACTAGCACATGAAACTAAGCCCACCTCATATTTAACCAAAGTAAGCTAAATACTCTCAAGTTAAAAAATGCAAAAACAAACAAAAAAAACATTCTGTCTAGACTCAGCCTTTTTCCCCAGAGGTCCAGAAGAAGACACTTACATGCACACACTCCGGTCTCGTACCTCGGCCCGTCTGCAGAGTAGTCACAGTACAGCCCTTTGTGGGGGTCACAGAGGTCAGCTTCATTGCAGATGTCCCCCGGTTGCTTGGCACAGATTTTACAGCATCCACAGCCGTCCCTCACCAAGCTCACTCCAGGGGGGCAACTGGGCTTCTGATAAGGACATTTGCAAGGCCAGTGACAAAACTGCTGACGCTGATGCACTTGCGATGCTCCTCCAGGCCTTCCTTCCGGTGTCGCATCTACCAGCCCAGTGCCCTGTGCCCTGCAGCAAAACTTCATTTGATAATAAAGGTGGTGTTAGAAGGGGTTCCTCATATGGTATGATAGGAATAGAAGAGTTCCCCCCAACGGTGTGTTGAGTTGTGTGTCATGATCATAAACCTCTCAGCTTCTGATGTGACCCCTGTCTCCTTAAGCTACTCCTCACCCGGCTTCCAAGACATCACATGTATTTCTGTTTTCTCACTGACTGCTCCTTCTCAGTCTCCTTTGCTGGTTTCTTCTCATCCTACTAATCTGTAAACATTGGAGCCCCCTGGCTCAGACCTCTAAAGTCCCCTCCCTCACGCCATCTCCCGTTCATATCTCCCTGCTGAACTCAGACTCAGACTACTTACTGAACAGCTCCACAGAGGTGCTTCACAGGCACAGCAAATTTAACACAGCCAAAACCAAATAATCTACTCCATCTACTTTTCCGTACTCTTCCCTATTTGAGCAAATGCCAATTTTTGTAGTTCTGAAATACCTTGGGCTCAGATAATTCTTGGCTCTTTTCTATCACATTTAACATCCAGTCCCATCAGTAAATCCCAACGATTACACCTTTCAAATACACCCACCCTGCTCTGCTCTCGTGATCCAAGTCACCATTGTTTTTCACTTGGATGTGTGCAGTAGTCTCCTAAATGTTCTCCTTCCTCGCCTCTTTGACAACTCAGCATCCAGCATGATCCTTTTAAAATATATCAGTTCATGCTACTCTTGCCCTTTTCAATATAAAACCCAAACTACCTCTTTAGAGGCATCTGGATCACCTGGTCCCCACACCCTGTCTCCCTTTGCTCATGACCACTCACCCCTGCCCGCTTCAGTGCAGCCATACCGGCCTTATTGTCTGAATATTCCTGGCACGCTCCATCCCTAGACATCTCCAGTGGTCACTCTTTTATTGTCAAGTTCCTCAGCTAGGCCCTTTTTGGCCATCCTTTATAGAAGAGCTCTTTAGATCAGCCTTTTCCCTACAGACCTTACCACCTGCCTTACTACCTACATATGTTACCTGTTGCTTTTCTGATTCCTCCATCAAGAATGTGAGCTTCTTGAGAGCAAGGTCTTTGCCTAATGTCTGTCTTACCAACTGCAATAAGTATTTATTAAACACAAAACCATGGTGCTTCCTATGTGTCAAGTACTTTACATGATTATGTCATATAACCTTCATAGCGACAGTATGAAGTTAACCCATGTGATAGGCAGAATAATCGTTCCCTTAAAGATGTCTATGTCCTAATCCCTGGAATCTATTAAGATGTTACCAGACATGACAAAGAGGATACTGCAGATGTGATGAAGCTAAGGGTCTTGAGGCTGGTGTCCTGGATGATCCAGGTACAAGGACTCTGAATCCCTCTAGGGGAGGCAAGCATATGGGAGAAGGGGGTGTGGGGACAGAAGCAGAGCTCAGAGCAATGCCATGGCTGAAAGGGGGCCAAGATCCTAGGAGGCAGACGGCCTTTAAAAGCTGGAAATGCAAAGAACCAGTTCTCTCCCTCCAGAAGGAATGTGGTCCTGCAGACACTCTATCTTAGCCCCCTAAGACCTGTTTTTGCACTTCAGATGTCCAGAATAGTAAATGTAAGTTGTTTTAAGATGCTAAATTTGTGGTGATTGTTCACAGTAGCAGTAGGAATCATATGACCCATTACAAGTCTGTAATCCTAGCACTATCAGAGGCCAAGCAGGTGCATCACTTGAGATAAGGAGTTCAAGACCAGAATGAGCAAGAGTGAGACCCCATCTCTACTAAACATAGAAAAACTAGCTGGTGTTGTGGCAGATGCCTGTAGTCCCAGCTACTCAGGAGGTAGAAGGAAGAGGATCACTTGAGCCCAGGCGTTTGAGGTTGTTGTGACAAAAACATTCACTAATTGCTACTGGATCTATCTGCTTTGAGGTCCTGCAGATACCGCTCCACCACCCCACCAAACTGCTCCTCAGCTAACCGTTCCCATTTTAGGGAATGCTGTCACCATTCACTCAGGTCCCTGAGCCAGGAAGCTGGAAACCATTCTGGATCTCGTCCTCGTCTTCATCCTTCACGCCCAGAAGTCACTGGTTTACAGGAGAGACAAGAGCTCCTAAGAACAGCACTCAGGGCCTCCCCATCTCTTGCAGTCCTTGTCTTCTTGCAGAAAACTAAATTGCCTGCAGTCCCCTACATAGATGATGCTGTCCCTCCTCCCTGGAACATCCTTCCCCAGACTCCACTCCTTCTTTATCTGTTTTAACTTCAAGCCTCTGTTTAAGTATCACCTTTTCCAAAAAGCTTTCTATAACCTCCCTGCCTCATACAAGTCTTTGAAATTATCTGAGGAAGTGCCTGTTTCTTCCACTCCCCATAAAGCCACCCAAACTCAGGTGCTCTCAGTTCATTTCTGAGTGTCCCATTGGCACCTAGCACAGCATGGTTTATGTTATTAATTCTCAATGTTTATTTCATTGGACCTGAAAGCTGTTAGAATGAACCAGAGACCTAACCTTCTTTCCTATTCAAATGTCTGTGTTGAGAAGTGTCAGTATAAAATCCTACCCTTAAACCCTCCATCTTTTTTCTCATCACTGGTAAAGCATGTGTGCCCCAGTAAAAAGCAACATTTCTGGCTGTTATTTATGTTGAATGCACGATGTGAGAAGAGATTTTGACAGGCCAGGCTTCTGGAGAAGGAGCAAAAGCGGAGAAGGGAGTAGAAATAGTGAGGCTAGAATCGTCAAAAAATTTTTTAAACTAAAACATTTTTTGCCTACTTCTCAGTTTTGCACAGGTTCAGCCATGGCCACTGGGAGTCACATGCCAGGTTCAGGCGCCTCTCGGCCGGCCTCCTGTCTATGCATTCTCTTCAGTCCTCTTGCCCCACTCCCTAAGGCAGCGGACGTCTTTTCCCCTGACTTTCATTATGCCCGGCCCTTCCACCTCTTAACATACTTTCTCAGCCTCCTCCACAGGCTCCTGCTACCCTGCGTTTGACTTCCATACATTCAGGCCGATCGGCACGTCACAGCCTTACAGTATTGCTCTTCTCACTCCACACCATGCTCTTAATAATCTCATCCGCCTCTGCCTTCGGTTTTCATCCTGTGCAAGCTTCAGAACTAAAGTTCTAGCCTGAACTTCTCTACTGAGCTCTAGATCCATGAGCTGACTGACTACTGAATATCATGACCTAAATGTCCTACAGGAAAAACTCAGGTCCCAAACTCGTTATCTTTCATCGCTGACAGCCCCTCCAGAGTTTGGAGTCAGGAAGCTGACAATCATCCAGGTCACCTTCCTCTCCCACACCTCCTGTGGCCATTGGGTGGCTAATCCTGCTTATCCAGCCATCCTCGTCTCCCTAGAATTAGCTATTCTTCCCATCTCATTGCTATTAAAGTATTAAAGTACTAAAGTACGGGCTCCTGACTGGCCTTCCTGCCTCAAGAGTGATTTCTCAAGTGCCTTTACTATGTTGCTGCCAAAGGGATCACTTTGCGAACTATTCAGTTGTATTGTTCCTCCCTTTAAAGCCCATGGATGGTTGGTTCCCTCATATGTACACTGTGCAGTCCAATCTTCTAAGCATGATTCCCAAATACCCCTACTCTGGTTCATGCACCTCTTCAGCCTTAGCTCTCAGCATGCTCTCCTTCCAGGCCTCCCATGTTGGTTTTCTTCTCCCTGTTTTTTCTCATTTTGCTCCCTAATGAAATTCCCACTCCCCAAACTGCCCATCTGGTGGATACCTGTTTATCCTTCTAGTCTTGAACATTTCTAGATCATCCCTGAGGTCAAAAGGTAACACTAGTGAAATCCAAAGGTAAAGAGAAAGTTACGGCAGTAGGCTAAGAAAAGGAAGATGTTAAATACAGGAGAACAATTAAAAAACGAGATCTGATTTATCATCCAAAGGAGGAGGAGGAGGAAGAAGTGGAGAAAAAGGTGACACCCAAAGACACTGTTGAAAGAAACAGAGCACCCTGCCAACCTAGAATTCTATATCCAGTGAAACTATCTTTCAAAAGTAAAGGTGAGGGGGGCACCTGTGACTCAAGGAGTAGGGTGCTGGCCCTATATACTGGAGGTGGTGGGTTCAAACCTAGCCCTGGTCAAATACTGCAAAAAAAAAAAAAAAAAAATTAAATAAATAAACAAAAGTGAAGGTGAAATAAAAGACATCTCCACATAAACAAAAACTGAGAGAAATTGTTGCTAGCAGACTGGGTTCTAAAAGATCTGTAGTCTAAAGGAAAATCACTCAAAAATAGAAGAAGAAAAGTCTTAGAAATAGTAAATATGGGGATAAATGTGAAGAATTTTATAGTTTTCTCTGTCTTCAGAAATACAGTGATTGTTTTCAAAAGCAAAATCTCAAGAGTCATTAGAATAGCAAGCTTTAGAATAGCTCTGTGGTCTACATTTGATCTTTGAGCCTCAATACTCCTCTGTAAAGTGGGATTGATAATATTCCCCTGGGAAGGTTGTTTTAACAACTGAGATCATGACTAGAGTGTCTAGCGCAGTGCTTGGCACACAGCAGATGGTCAGTAAATGTCAGGCATTAGCAGGTCCTTCAACAATGCATGAAAGCAAAGTTCAGCACAAAATGTTTTCTTGCTGCTCTGTGCATAACACATTTATGTGTTTGTTTATTTCCTACACATCTCTCCACACTGGAATAACTGTTGTTTAAGAACACGTGGTACAATGACAGGCCTTTTCTCAAGAATGGAAGAATAGGAGACCACCAGCCGATATCATATCTACTGGGAGATACGCCCCTCCTCATAAATGCAGGAATGACCTGGACCACTGATGCTCTTGTCATGATCCTTTTGAAATTGTAAATATATATAAATATATATGTATACACATATGTACCCATATACATATATATTTACATATATACATACACACATACACTTACACATATACATACATATAGACATAGGCTGCCAAAAAAAAGTATACACATTTTAAGAAAGGACAAAACTGTATTAAAATTTTAATACTTAAGTCACATTTGTCTTCTGCAATTATAAGAGATACAAGATACAAGGTTTAAGATAACAAACATTATTGGTATATTTTAGGTATTACAACTTTAATGTAGTAAAAAGAAAAGAGATTTTGCCTTTCTTAAATGTATATACATTTTGGCCCCCTCTGTGTGTGTGTGTATGTGTGTGTGTATGTATATATATATATATATAT